GGCAGCCAGGGCTCGACTGCCTGTGTCTCTCAGACCTTCTTGCCCCCCCGATCCCTCATGTTCTACCGTCTGAAAGCCGACGCAGCGAAGCAAGTGCATGAAACGTGTCAGCCAGCGCTGCCCCCAAAAGATTGCGTGGCTCAAGCAAGCTACGTTGTGCAATCCACCTGGGGTGATATATATATATATATATATATATATATATATATACACGCATATACGCATAAATACATACAAATGTTCACACATATATACGTGGTGCAGTAGATGCTATATATTTGGTGCAAGTTGCGTGGTGCAATCGACTTTGACCTCCTCGCGCACGATCACCTCCCATGCCCGCGAAATCATCCCACACACACACACACACACCCGCAACTTGGTTTGCAAACCCATGCGGTGGCGATGCTAATCCCGCTGGCTGGTGCGTAGCTGCGGCCCCGCGAGCGCTTGCTGGCTCACGCGCAGAGCGGCCAGCTAGGCTGGCGCGGCACACGCGGCCGGGGTGGCGCTGACCGCTGGGAGCTCCCCATCGCGTTTCGCAGGCCGCGCTGACGCGCGGTCGCATCAGTGCGAGTCGGTGACTCGGGCGGGCGCTATGTCATGGTGACCTCGACAACGGCAGACCCAAGAATGATAGGAGCGATGCTGGTGACGATGATGACAATGACGACGGCAGGGGCAATGACGGCGCCGATGCCGATCACGCCGATGACGATGATGACGTCCTCGCGTCGGTGATGGACGTTTTGGAAAGATTTCGACATGCTCGCGCGGTGGACGCGCGCGAGTGGCCCGCATGTTATTGTTTGACAAAGGTCGCGCCCCCCCCCCACCACGGCACGCGCGAAAAGGCGTTCGAATGATTTCGACACGCACGCGCCGAAGGCACGTTCGGTTGCAATTGACGAAGATGTAGAAATATTCCTGATTTTTTGAAGGATTCGCATGTGCGCGAACGCGGGTGTTTTGTGAAAGCGCCCTTTCCGAAACCACTGGTTTCTAGGTTTTCGGGGCACTGGATTTTGAAGTCCCCACGGGACCTGAGGTGGTTGAAGGAGTCCGGCAAGCGCGCGCGACGACGCGCGCGTATGCAATTCATGCTTCGTTGTGCCGGGAGCTCTTGCGACAACACGCGCGCAAGCGCGTGCGAATGATTCGACATGCGCGCGGTTGGCACGCTTGGTCGCATTTGATGAACATTTTGAAGAATTGATCGTTTCATGTAGAATTCGCATAAACGCGAGCGCAGGCTTGTTTGAACATGCGTATTGCGAAGCAATTGGTTTTATATGTTTTCGGGACATTCGATTTCGAATCCCTTGCGGAACCTATGGTTTTTGAAGGGTTTCGGGATGCGCGCGCGACGAAGCGCGCGTGCGCATTTCGTCGCAGTTGTTGCAAGGGGCTTTGGAACGAATCTATGGGGATGAACAAATGCGCGCGCACATCTTTTGCAGAGGATGAGGGGGGTCGGTACTGGCGTGGATGGGATCATACGAGTCCACATGTCGAATGAACGAGTGGGCAGAACCTTTCATAAATTGCACATGGGATATAACCGCGGAGGGGGGGATCCGATTTTTTCTTGAAAAAAGGAGAACCAACGTGGCACAATCCATGATACGCAGTCTATGTGGCGCGTACAACCCTACTTATCTACATGTAGGTGTATATGCATGTGTATGCATATACACACACATATATATATAGACATACATATGTGTGTCTGTATTTATGTGTGGTGCCGTTGACCCGTCGACGTGGTGCAATCAATGCGGCGCAGCCAATGTGGAGCCATCTATGGTTTGCAATATACGTGGTGCAATATATGTTGCGCGATCTACTTTATGGTCCAACAGATGCGGTGCAATCGACGTGGTGCAACCGACATCTACGGTGCACGATATGTTGTGCAGTGTGTGTGGTGTCAACTACGGCGTGCAATAAGTTACGATGTGCAACCTATGGTGTGCGATCTGTGTGGTGCAGCATTCGTGGTGATAAGTGGTGCAAGACCTACTTGGTGTGATGGGCGTGATGGAGGAAACTTCGAAGAAGTTGGAGTTGTCAACTCCACTGTTCGCGCAATCGTCCCACACCCACCCGCAGCTTGCTTTGCAAAACGCATGCAGCGGCGACTGCGATGACTGTTGGACGTTGGCTGGCGCGTCTCTGCGGCCGCACTACCGCGCGAAAACTCGCGCGCAGAGCGGCCAGATTGTTTGGCGCAGCCGACGCGGCCGCAGTGGCGCTGACCGCTGGGAACTTCCCATCGCGTCTCAGAGGCCAAGGTGGTGCGCGGGCGCTTCAGTACGGGCCGATGATTCGGGCGGGCGCTGTGTTTTGGTGACGTCGACAGCGGCACAACAGTGGCAGCGATGATGCTAGTAGCTATGCTTGTGACGATGACGACGATGACGACGGCAAGGTCAATCATGGCGCAGGTGCTGATCACGCCAATGACAATACTGATGTCCACGCGTCGCTGATGTAGGTGTTGGAAAGATTTCGGCATGCGCGCGCGGTGGACGCGCGCGAGTGGCCCACACAGCATTGTTTGAGAAAGGACGCGCCCCCCCTCCCCCAGCACGCGCGCAAGGGCGTTCGAATGATTTCGACATGCACTCGCGGAAGGCACGTTTCCGTAGCAACTGATGAAAATGTAGACACACCTGGGGTCCCCCGATGGATTCGCACGCGGCCTACGCGCGCGATAAGCCCGCCTGGAATTATGTGTCAGGGATCGTGCGCCCCCAGTCTGCGCCCAAAGGGTGTGCGAATGTTTTCGACGCGCGCGCGAGAAGCCCGCGTGAGTTCATGTGGCGAAAATATGGAAACACGGTGGGTGTTCATACATAACTACACATTGGCAACCGCGCGCGCTGATGTTTGTTTAAATCTATGTTGCGCAACCATTTGGTATTACATGTTTCCGGATCTCGAGGTCTTGGAGATTCCGACGCTCTCGCGATACAGCGCGCGCGTGTGGATTTTGCGCCATTTGTTGCCAGGGACTCTTGGAACTTGATGAGATGTGATTGCCGGGTGTGCACGCGTAGTAATATTTGACAGGGGTGAGGGAGGGGGCGATGTGGGTACTCCATGAGATGGTACGAGCTCATATATAATATGACGGACGGGGCGGAATCGTATGCATGTTGCATCATTCAAGTGATAACATGTAAACCAGGGGGTGATATTCAATATTCCTCCGAAGAAAAAGATATACGCGGTGCAACGTATGTTGTGCAATTAATCACCTGCTAAACTTGAAGCTGTGCTCTCCACTGCTCGTGCAAACATCCCACCCTCCCACCCGCAGCTTGGTTTGCAAAACCTGTTAAGACCGACGACGACGACACCGACGACAACGACTAGGACGACACCGACGACGACTTCGACGACGACAACGACGCCGGCGCCGACGACAACGAAGACGACGACGCCAACGAAGGCGACGACGAGGGAGGAGGGAGGACGACGACGGCGACAACGACGACAACGACGACAACGACGACAACGACGAGGGAGGAGGGAGGACGGCGACGACGCGAACGACGACGAAGGAGGAGGGACGGCGACGCCGACGACGACAACGACGAGGGAGGAGGGAAGACGACGACGACAACGACGACGACGACGGCGACGAAATAGGAGGGACGACGACGAGACGCCGACGACGGACGACGACGACGACGACGTGGGAGGAGGAGGAAGGACGACCACGGCGATAACGACGACGGAAACGACCACGACGCCAAAAAAGACGACGACGACGCACACGAGGAAAGACAGAGGACGACGTAGGCGACGACGACGTCGACGACGCGGGAGGAGGGAGGACGGCGACGACCACGACGACGACGACGACGCAAGAGCGCGCGCGCGCACGCTTTTGTTGAAAATCCATGTTGCGAAACCTTGGGTTTTTGTAGGTTTTTTTTGGACGCACGATTTGGAAATCCTTCCGAAACCGATGGGTTTTGAAGGTTTTCGGCATACGCCCGCGGCGACGCGCGCGTCTGCACTTCGTCCCATCTGTTGCAGAGGATTCTCGCGACGGCACACGCGCAAGGGCGTTCGACAGATTTCGACATGCGCGCGCGAAGCCCGTTTGGTAGCATGTTGAGAAAATATTGAAAAACCTATGGTTTTCTTAAGATGTCGCAAGAGTTCGCGCGGAAGTTTTTGTTTAGCAAACCAGTGTTGCGAAACCATGTGTTTTTTGCATGTTTGTTTTGAAAACTCGATTGCGAAATCTTTCCGGCACCGAAGGTTTTTGAAGGATTTCGGCATGCGCGCGCGACGGCGCGCGCGCGCGCACTTCGACCCATTTGTTGCAAGGGATTCGTGAAAAAAAAGTATTATGTTAGAACAAACAATGTCACCGCATAGTGTTGTTTACGAGGGAACCTCAGGGGGGGGAACCCGGCCTGGCTGGGATGATATAATTTCATGTTTTGGATGGACGAGTGTGCAGGATATGTATATATATACGAAATCATACTATCCCAGTGGGAACCGATAAGTCCGGGGGGGGGTAGAGTCTATTTTATTTTTTTGAAAGGAGAATCTAGAGGTGGCGACGGGGCAGCGACGGCGGCACCTTAGCCGCCAGACCGGCGGTCAGACCCACGCGACGGGCGGCGGTCAGGCCTAGACGTTGGGCGGCGACGAGGCGGCGACGGGGCGGCGACGGCGGGAATCCGCCAGACTGGCGATCAGGCCCAATTCCTTGGAGGACTAGTAATAACGCGTAAGTGCAGGTTTTGTCAGTGGAACCTCGACTGGAGCCCTGGACGCCATCTTTCTGCGCCATTTTTCCGAGCCGGATCGATGTGTGAGGGTCCTGGGGCCCGAAACCACTCGAAAGCGCTTGCTTCGAAAAAGCGGAGACGCCAGGATCTCAGGGTCTCAGGGTCTGGCTGCAGCCGCGTCGGATCAAGCCCGAACCCGAGACGAATTGCGCGAGGTGGCTGCCCGGCCAAGCCGGCGCCATGGCACGCGCGGTCTCGTTGGCCCTGCTCCTGGTTCTGGGGGTGGCCCCCAGCGTGTCGGCGGGCGCGGCTCCAGTGGGCCCAGCTGCCGAGGCACCGGCGACAAATCGATCATTGCTCAGGTTATCGACGCGGAGGTTCCAGAAGTTCGTGTGGATCCTTTCCAGCGATGTTCTTTCATGAGCGGGTATGAGGTGTCAGCGATTGGGTATGCCTAGGCCTCCCAGATGGGGTCGGAGGATCGCGCTACATCGCCGATGCATCGGCAACGCAGCTCGATGTGGAACCCGACTCTCTCCACACCAACGGCTCCTTCGCAACGCCGACGTCGCCGATGCATCGCCGATGCATTATGGAAGCATCGAGTATGCGGCGCGATCCTCCGATCCCATCTACTCCGACCCCACTTGGTAGGCGTCTGGTGTGAGCGACCGGGTGCAAGTTTCTGAATGCGCGTGAGTCGGAGCGCGAGGGGCTAAAAGTGCGTCTCAATATGAGCGGGTCTGGGTGTGAATGGTTCTGAGTGTGAGTGAATATGGTTATCAATCGGTACAAATACGAGTGAAGATCAGCATGAGCGGCCAGGCACAAGTGAGTCTGAAAATGAATGTGGCCGTGTGCGCATGAGTCTGAGTGCACGTTTCAGCACGAGTGATTGCGTACGGGCGAGTCCAAGTGTGAGTGTGTCGGTGCATGAGCGCGGCTCACAACGAGTGAGTCTGAATATGAGCGAGCGTAAATACGAGTGATTGCGTATGGTTGGCAAGAGGGTGAGTGAGTCTGACAATTTGTGAGTGCGCCTGAGCATGGGCGGCTGAGTACGGGCGGGTCTGAGTGTAAGTGCGCCTGGTTGCGAACAACTGCGTACGAGTGAATTTGTTTAGTATGGGTGAGTCTGGTCGTTGCGCGGATCTGGGCACGAGTGAGTTTTATCCAGTATGAATCCTGGCGCCTTGTGGCCTGCTGGCCCCGTTTGACACCAGCCTCCTCAGGCCTCCTGGGGCGTCATGTTCCCTGCTGCAACGTTCTGAGGCCTCTTGGGGCATCATAAAGTCCCCTGGGGCACCCTGGAGAATCCAGGAATTCTCCTTGGCCTTCCTGGGTTTCGTGTAACTTTGGCAGTTGCATGAAGGCTTCAGTGGCCTTTGAAAGTTCTGGCTACGATGCCCGCAATACCGTACTGATCAGTATGAGTATGAGCGCGTTTGAGCATAAGAGAGTCTGAGTGTGAGCGAGTCCAGCTGTGAGTCCTTCTGAGTCTGAGTGAGTCCGAGTGTGAGTCACTCTATGCGTGAGTGAGTCTGAGTATGAGTGAGGTGTTGTGTGAGCGACTGAGTGCCAGCGAGTCTTCGCATGCGTGAGCCTCAGTAGTAAAGGGGCAGGATGCCGGCGAGGAGGCGGAGGCGCCACTTCTTTTTGCTCTCGCGGTCTCAACTCCCCAAATAATGCTTGCACTTAGGGGTTCTTGTGTATGTTGCCCAAAGATCAGAGCGTGAATTACCTACCCCGCTTTCGCTTCCAGGCAAAACCAAGCCATACCACGCGCCTCCTCCTCAAGCGGCCTGACCAGTACAGGCTGCAATTTGGCATCGTTTGGTATCGCTTGGAAGCGAGGGTGGTCAAAAGCGAGGTAGGTTTGTTTTTTCCCCAAAAGAGTTGGATGGGTGCTCCGAGGTTTCGCAACACTGCCGCCCGTGGGGGCCCCGTGGGCATTCCTGCGCGGGAGGCTCGGCACGCCGAGGTTTATTGCCACGCTGCCGCGCCCGTGGCATTGCCGTGGGCGCCTCGTGGGGCGCAGGCCGTCCACAACGCGGAGGGCGTACGCCACGCAGTCGCCACGCAGCTTCCTCCTCCTCCTCCTCCTCCTCCTCCTCCTCCTCCTCCTCCTCCCCCTCCTCCTCCTCCTCCTCCTCCTCCTCCTCCTCCTCCTTCTCCTCCTCCTCCTCCTCCTCTCCTCACCCTCCTCCTCCTCCTCCTCCTCCTCCTCCTCCTCCTCCTCCTCCTCCTCCTCCGGGTCTTGGACCGCACAGAGTGCAGCACAGCGCTTGCACCACGTGCCCTGCGCGACATCGCTCGCAGCACGCAGCTTGCACGACCCAGCCTGCAGCGCAGAGATTTGCAGCACTCAGCTTGCACCTCGAAACTCTTGCCGGATGGCCTGTGACGCAGGGCTTGCACCGCGTAGCGTGCACCACATATCTTGCACTGCACAGCTTTCACCGCCAAGCTTGCACCACATCACAGCCTGCACCGCACAGCTTGCACCTCACAGCTTGCACGCCCGCTGTACGACAGCTTCCTGCTCATGTCCCACGCTGGCAAGCATGTGATAATGCAAACAGCATGCCCAAACAGGAACAAGTATACACTTGTCAGGAGGAAGAGAAGGAGGAGGAGGAGGAGGAGGAGGAGGAGGAGCGAGGGGAAGAGGAGGAGGAGGAGGAGGAGGAGGAGGAGAAGAAGGAGGAGGAGAGAGGAGGAGGAGGAGGAGGAGGAGGAGGAGGAGGAGGAGGAGCAGGAGGAGGAGGAGAAGGAGGAGGAGAAGGAGGAGGAGGGGGAGGAGGAGGAGGAGGAGGTGTCCAGAGAGACAGGAGGCTCCAACGCAGGCCGTCGCTGCGGGCGGCGCGGCCCGCGAGCTGAGCGACGGCGAGGACGCCGCCGAGGAGGACGCCTCCATCTGCGACGTGGGCGGGAGCGGCCTCGTCCTGCCCGTGCTGCCGGATGGTCGGAGCACGTCAACTTGTCGCGCCCCTCGACGACGACGGCGTCGAGAACGATGACGACGACAACGACGACGACGACGAAGATGATGATGACTTGGACAACGAAGGCGACGCCGACGACGACGACGACGACGACGAGAACGATAGCGACGATAACGACGAAGATGAGAACAATAACGACGATAACGACGACGACGACGAAAACGACGACAACGACGACGACGACGACGACCACGTTGGCGACGTCGACGTCGACGACGACGACGACGACGAGGACGATGACGAGAATGATGACGACGACGACGACGACGACGACGACGACGACGACGACGACGACGAGGGCGACGACGACGACGACGAGGACGATGTCGAGAGAAACGACGACGACGACGACGACGACGACGACGACGACGGCGACGACTGTGCAGCAGCGCGTCAGCGACACCGGCGCCCCCGAGCAAGACCTGGGAACCGCGTGGGGCCCGCTCCCCCACTGCGGCCTCCTCCGCCGGCCCAGGCAGGTCTCTGGGAGCCGCAGCAGCGCGGCCGGGCCCTGCTTCGCGACCGGGGCCCGCTCGGCGACCCCGGCCTCTGGGGCTGACCCGGGGGTGGTGCCTCTTTTCGGCGGCGAGCGAGGGGGGGGGGGAGTGAAGAGGGGCCTCGAGCAGTGGCGGAGCGCCCCGGCTTGCCTGTGGGCCCAGCAAACAAGGTTCCAAGAACCCATGTTTGCGGCTTCCACGGCGTGTTCGTGGAACAGTTCTGGCTGGGACCGTCTTGTTTTGACGCATCGGGCTGATGTTCTAAGAAGATGGGTTTTGTTCTCAGACAGCTTTTGGGTTCTTAGAACATCTTGTGGTAGGCCTACAGGAATGCCGGGACGGTCGGTCCCTGCTCAAGGGGGGCATGCCCGACCTAAGTATAGTGGGGGCCCATGCCAAGAAACACCCTGCTTGCCTCGAGGGTGCCCTGGGTTTCTTGGGCTATGATGGTTTTTGCAGTGGAAAGCGTGACGTTCCCAAAAATCAATGGACGTCCTGGGGTCTCAGGGTTGGGTTTCTTGTGCAAGGTTTCTTCTGGACTAGCCTCCACTGCACGGCACCGCACCCACAAAGGGGGAACGGCCAGGCTGGTGCCGGACAGACAGGGCCCCCCGCTCGCCCAAGGGACCGGGGACAAAACGATTTGGACACCAGGGCCATGAAATCACACTACACGACGGGGAAGACGGACCGCCAGTCCCGTCCTTGGCCCAAGGCGGCGAGTGCGGGGAGTGAACTCCCGCACCGCCTTCGGGAAGGGCACGGGACCTGGCAGCCGTCGGGGAGGGAAGCTTGGGCGCAGGGTTTTGGACCCTGAAGCCCTGAAGGCCCGGTGTTCCCCGCCTGCACCAGTGAGCGCTTTGGCCCGACACCCCGCTTATGGGGGTGTCCCTCCGGGGCACGACGACGACGACGAGGACGTCGATGTCGACGACGACGACGATGGCGAACATGACGACGACGACGACCACCACCACCACCACCACGCCTGTCGCGCGTCCAACGAAGACGAAGCATAGGTTTACAATTAAGCAGGATCATGGGTATGAGCACTTTCCAAAGACACCCCTTCATCCCTGCATCTTCGGCCCATCCTTAGCCACTATCGCTGGCCATAATTACTCGCTCAAGAGGCTCCAACTTAGGCATCCGAGATCCTCGCAAGGAGGAGAGGCACCAGGGACGAGGGGGAGAAGGAAGGAAGAGAAGGGAGGGAGGAAGGAAGAGAAGGGAGGGACGAGTAAAGAAAGGAACCTCTCCCTCAAGGGACCTCCTGCGGCCTGGGGGAGCAAAAAGTTACCGATGCCGCAGCTCTCCGGACCGCTCCTCGGGTGCGTTATGCCCCAGACTTCGAGCCACGGCGACGAGTGTCGAAGAAGAGAACAGTGCACATACACATAAGCTTTTGGAGCTCCGCGAGGACTTCTCGGATCGGCGCTGGACCCCCCTCCCTGACGCGCGGGGGCCTAGCGCTGGTCCAAGAAATCCGCGCGGAGCTCCTGAAGTTTCAGACTGTGCCGTTTGTTCTTCCTCGTAGAGGAAAGAGCAGCGGCATCGGTACTTGTTTCTCTCCCCAGACAAACGACAATCCGCGCAGAAATTCTGGACCGCCTCGCCAGGACTGGTTCATCCCGGGTCGTTTTTCTTGTGGCGGCCCCAGGGCCGCGCGAGGGAAGCCCAGGAGGCCGAAACCATGCGAAACACTCCCGTCGCGATGTTGTGTTGCAGGGGATTAGCGGCATCGGTCACCAGATGCTGCTGACAAAATCCTTTGGGGATAAGAAAGTTCGGGCCCTGGCGCGATAGTAGATAGTTTCCCGCTGATGTCGATGTCAGGATGGGATTACTCATGGTGTTATGCATACGGTTGGCATCGCACCTACGATAGGAGCATTGGAGGGGACCATCAAGATCGGCCTTCCCGCCTGCTGTGGCAATCGAGCCACATCCAACCACGTGGAATACAAGCTACAAGGGTTGAGGGGCATGGGGGGAGGAGGGGGGGGAGGAGGAGGAGGAGAAGGAGGAAGAACAGGAGGAGAAGTAGGAGGAACAGGAGCAGGAGCAGGAGGAGCAGGAGGAGCAGGAGTAGTAGGAGTAGTAGGAGGAGGGGGAGAGGAGGAGAGGAGGAGGAGGAGGAGGAGGAGGAGGAGGAGGAGGACGGAGACAAA